GCTGCGCCACCAGGGAGGGCCGAGTATTAAGTTCTTTTTAAATCCATAGGATGAGGCTGAACCCTCCTGACCCACCCTCTTCTCCCCTCAGCAGTGCACTTTGTTGATCTGCCTGTTCTGCTCCCTACTCTGACTCTGGTGAATTCTCTCACTGCCTCTACACCTCTGGCCTGTTCCCCAGTTCTATATACACAAATAAATAAATTTAAAAAAAAAAAAATTCATGAAAACACAGTTTTATAATGATCCAATGTTGCTTTCCTTTGACTGCTAGAAAAGCCCATAGCATACTTCTATCATGGATTCAGGTCTCTTAATGGCATGTAATTTGTTACTTCATCTGATTTTAATTGTCCTTTGTTTTATTTTTGTTTTACTTTTCCATGTGCTCGAAAATCCTTACATTTGTTTTTAGATGAACAGTGGCTATAAATGAGTTAAACTGCAGGAGATAGAAGGGAAAAAAAGTAATTTTTTTCCTGTCTATTATTGATGATCTATTTGAAGTCTTTCCACCTAAATACATTACAAAAGCACTCCTATTATTTTTGTCAGTGATAGCTGCAGGCATTTGAATTACTCTTACGTAATGTAATGTGTACACATGGTTTCACCTATATGTGTATTTTAAATGGAACAATAATAATGAAATAAGATTTTTGCATAGCTATTTGCACAGATCTAGAATCAAACCTGCATTCTGTTTCTCCTTGTCTTGCCTATTTAGTTAGGAGACTTTGCAATTTTTGCAATAATGAAGCTATAAATGCTTACAGGCACTTGGACTTTTCGAAACATCTCAGCACCCTTGTGTGCATCCATCAGTGCAATATCTTGGGGTGTAGAGACAATCACAGCACCTAATCAAAAGAAAACAAAAGGATGGCAAAAATGATGCTATCATTTCCTTCTTCATAGAGAGATTACTTCCAAAATTATGTTGCTTATATGCTAGAAGACTCTACTGTATTAACTAGTTAAGTAATTTGTATAAATTTTACATTCATGAATGTGAAAGATGAGGAAATAACTACTTTGCTCTTTGACTCTTCAGTTCTAAGGTTCTAAAGACAAATGGTTGACCATGATTTAAGATCACAGAACTTTCTTCACATTAAGATAATATACTAGTTAGAAGATGCACAATGCAGGCCTTACTTTCACAAAACTAACAGTCAAATTGGGGAGAACAAAAACTAAGGAAATCATTAACACAAAGTACTCACCATTAAAAGAGAGATATGCAAAGGGTGTTACAGAGTATTAAACAAGGAATAAAGGAAAGATATCCAATTTAACCTAGGTGAGAAGATGGTGAAGGTGATCATGGGAGGAGTAAGGAAGCAGGAAGCAGGAAATGTGGAGAGGCAACAGGGTAAAGTTTCCAGAAAGAGGTGATCCCTAAGTTGAGTCCTAAGATTGTGTTAAAGACAACTCACTGTGTAGAACATTGTGGAGAATAGTTTGCTGTGTGTAAAACTAGGGACACTAGCAGACGTTCAGATGCAAAATGGTGGCAGCCTTAAGTAAGGGAGTTATGAAAGTAGATGGAGATGGAGGTTTTCATGAGTCTCCATTATTACTTTGCAGAAACCGGATGATTCTAATAAAGTGTTTCTAGAAAATGTGAAGTTTAATTTTTTTCTTTACGTGGAAACACTACAGACCTGGTTATGATTTACAGAATATGAATTTCTTAAATTTTATGGTTTCTTCTAATGATAATGTGAAAACATATCTTAGTCACCCAGATGGGTATTCTCTTATAACTAAACATGCACAGCCATACATTTTAGAGTCAGAAACTATCAAATTGGAACAAGTGTCAGTACTTTATTACAGCTAATAATAAAAGAGGCCGAATTAACAATAACTAATTGCACCAAATGAGGGTCAAATGACAATAAGCATGTCAAATTCAAAAAGAAACTACAAAATAGCTCTTTTACTTAGCTACAAATTCATTTTGCCTTTGATATTCCCTTTTTAGCAAAAAAAAACCTTCATCTTTCACATTAATGTCATTTATTTGAATTTTATTGACTTTGTAAGCTTTTCTGATATATAATTTATAACTAAGTTTTTCAAAAATCATGTAAAAAATAAAAACTTAAGAATTTTTGTTTACACATAAAGTCTATGAGATTATTTTTCTGTTAGAAGGAGTCTGCATTACTGATGTTTGTAAAACACTACCACTGGAATTCAAAAAGAATCAGAATTCAAAGTGTAGTATAATAACTTAACTCTCTAAAATTCAATTATTCATATTAATGAAATTCCTTTGACGTTGCTAGGAGTATCTTCATATATGCTATCAGGCAGTTCATCCAACTTTTGAACTTTTTGAAGGATCACTACATTTTTCTGTTTCGATTTATGCTGCCTGAAAAACTGAAAAATTAGTCAACAGTTTTCTTTCCCCTTTTTTAAAGACTGATGGAAATCACATCTCTGCAAAAATTATATTCAATTTTACATCAATATATTTTTCACAATTTGCTACCTTCTAAATTCTATATTATCAATCTATGTCACTATTTTTTCATAACCAGGCACTTACAAGGAACTTAATTCTAGTCTGCCTCTATCAAGCTATGTGACTAACCTTAAGCAAATAACTAAGACTGACTTGGAGTCTCAGTTTCTTTAGCTATAAAATTAGGTAATGGGCTAGTTAGTCCCCAAGGTCTAGGCTGTCTCTCTGATGATATATCAATTTAGCATTTCTTCTTAATTGTAGTTTCCAAATCCAATCTTGTTCAACCTGACTGCTAGTAAACCTATTTAAATGAACATGAAATGCTACCTATTCCAAGACATACAGTCATTCTCTTCACCTGTAAATGAAACACCCCTGGTTCTTTCCTTCAAATTCCCTCTTCAACTCTGCACTAGCATATGAAGAGTTTTCTATTGCATTAGTGCTAAAAAGTAACTTTAGCTTTCATGTGTGATGAATGTTATTGTTTTAAATGAACTTTGTATACTATTTGTATTACCATAACACAACATAATTTTATGAGTTATTTTAATCAAACAAAATTAATGACACCTTGCCCATGCAAAATAAGCACTTAAAACAAAGAACTGGTGATTTAGACAATTTTTCCTATTTTCAAGTCATCCGTCTTAGATTACTATGCATGAACTCTTTTTGGCAACTCCTTGAATTAGGGAGTCAAGAGCTCTAGGTTCTGGTTTTGTTGACTCTGCTAACGTACAAAATATCCTTGTTTATTTAGCTCACTAAATCTCAATACATCTCAATTAACTCTTCTATAAAACAAACCTATTTCCAATTGTTCTTACTTACTTTATAGAGCGGTACCCTTTTTTCAATGTAAGAATGTTATAAAAATGTTCAGATATCATTTTGATAGCTGTAAGACCCTAAAATTACTTGTTTTTCTCTGTACTTAAATCCTAACACAGCATCACAAATAAGCATCTGCATCATCCCTTTGTAGAGCAATAAAAATAGCCACAGTCATACACCACAAGTTTTTGATAGGACAAGTATCATCTTCAAATGTTCACAAAACATAGAAACATCCCACTAGAACTATAAGCTACAATTATAAAATATTTTCTGGTGTACAATTTCTTGGATTAAATATATTTTCTTAACTGATGACTAAGTAATTACAATGCAATCAGTATTTAGCACACTGTTCTCAGAAAGAAATCCTAGATCTTCTTAAATACAAAAATGGCACACACATAAATTTTTTTGTACCTTTTTTTATACTATTCTTTTTTTGTGCCAAAATTTAGTACCATAAAAGTAACCATTTCATATATATATATATATAAACACATATATGTACACACACACAATGGTGTACTACAAGGGGATCAAAAAAGGACAAGCTCGCCATTTTCAGCAACATGGATAGGGATGGAAGAAATTACGATAAGCAAATTAAGTCAGAATGAGAAGATAAATAGTGGATGGTGTCACTGATAGGTAGAATATACAGAAACCAAACAAAAGATCAGACAAAGCCAAATTTAAAAACTAATCCTTGAAAGTTGACTATAAACTAAGGGATCCAGAAAAGGATTGAGAAGGGGAAAAGCAAGGACAAAGTGGAGAGAGAGCACAGAGACTATGGTGGCAGACAATGGGCACTTTGGTGGTGGGCACACTATGGCAATATCACCAGAAGGGGATCTGACAGTCCCAACATACAAATAACAATGCAAACCAACATTATCTCAATACAAAAGGAAATTACAGAAAAGTAACCCCTTTAGACAGACAATAACATTTAGAATTTATGATGTGGAAACAAAGCAATACGACAACAAACAAAATCCAAATAAAATTAAATTTAACCAATAACAAATCCATATTTGATCACAACCAAGATTTTCAAATTTTAAAGAAATTATGACATTTTCTTATGTACCTCTCTAGTTAGAATATGCCGTTTAAATCTGATATTTTATCTTTCTGGTTACTGATTTTCCACTTAATAAATTTTAATTTTTCACAGAGCTCATGGACATGAAGCAAAATAAACAGGTCTAGATTTGTTCCCCCTTTGTACCATCTTCAATGATGTCACTCAATTTTGTGATGGAAAGTTTGTTAGAAAACTTGTGCTCCCTCTACTGACCAGAAGGAATGTGAGTAGCAACATAAAGAATGTTGTTTGCAATAAATACAGTTGTTGTCTGAGAGTATAAATACAGTGTCATAAAATACCTATCTCAAAAATCTTATGGAATTTTCCAGCCCTTTTCTGAAGTAAATATCTAAGTACAAACAATTAAATAACATTGTTTAAATGCTATTTCCCAAGTTGCAATCTTTAAAAAGAAACTATCAGCTGAGATTTACTATAAAAGGTTAACTGGCAGATTTTGGCAAACATGTAAATATCCCCATAAAGTGAAAGTATTGTCTTAATTGTTAATTCCCTATACTATTGAGAGGAAAATCTACTTTTAACTGCCTATCTGATTTGGGTGAGAGTTCAGAGTAGTTAAAACATATAAAACTGATTACTCCAGATGTTAGGCTGATCATAATTACACCAATGTAGAAAACTACTCAACTATGCCAGTGCAAGTCTCCAGGGCATAGATTATATCTAATTCCCATGCTTGACTAGGAACTTCAGGGTTGGAACCCATTACATATGTAAAATAAAACTGCTCAAAATTTTAAGTAGGCAAATAATTCTATAGCTTACAAATCTTGAGCATGTCAATGTAAAGACAACGAAGACTTAAAAGAACCAATTACCTGCTATTCTTAATGTACACAATGCTCTAATATTTAACACTGCTGATTCTCCTAAATTTATATAAAGATACACCTGCAGTAAAAGAAAGTAATCATTTAACCTCTGCTAGCTTAACATAATTAATACCAAATAAACAGTTGCTTGTTAACTGTAAAGTAGAATGGCTTTGATATTTTTTTAGCTCCCCCCTGTCTTTCTTCTGTGCAACCCCCAAATTTCCTGAAATTTAAATATTATTTTCTATGCAATCAAGGAATACTTACTAATATCAGCAAAAAAATAAATAAAACTTGATTTAAAATGCAGAGGCACCTCCTGTTTGCATTTCAACAGGAAATAAAAATAATTTTTTCAAGTTACTATCTTGGGCACTGTGCTCCAGTCTTTATTAATTTAAAGTTCAATCATTATTTTGCTCACTTTGAAATCAATATTATAGGAGATGTCAACTGCTGCCCAAAACAATTATAAATCACAAAAATTAGTGGAAACTATAGAATTACAAAATGAGAAAAAGAAAGTACATTTAGGAACTGTAAGATTTCAAGCACCTCCAAGGAATTTTGAATGCTCTGCTGTTTAGGGATAAAGATTGGCTCTTC